GTGCTGCCTTGCTGGATTTTATTGTTGTTTTTGTGCAGGAAGTGCTGCTGTAGCTGCTGTTTTTGCCTTGTTTTCTCTTGTTTTTGTCGTGTTGTTGCATGCTCCCTTTAGGCTTTCTAGTCCAACTTAATTTTCAATTGAGCTTGGAGTAGGATAGACATTAGGAGTTTAATCCATGCATGATAACAAGTAGGTTAGTCCCTTTTAACCTCAACCTTAGGTCCATCTTTTGCATGCTAACATTAGGATAGAATTTCCTTTCGCATCCCGACCTTAGGGCCATTTTACGTGACAATGTTAGGACCGAGTTTCCCTTAGACCTTCTGTGCATCTTTCTCTCTTCTCATCTCAAAAAAATTCTAATACACTTAATAAAGGCGAAGAACATTGTGCGCCACAAGCCTTAACTATATGAGAAATGATGAGTGATGGGTCTCCTCTCGTTCGCCTAGAGTGTTTAGCATACGTCCCGTCTGGGGGAGATATGCGATGCATTCGTTTCTATATCATAATCTTTAGTGCAACGTGAATAACAAAGCAAATCAATTGACTTCACTAAAACTCACAAACAAAATTCACACCTTTTTATCCTTCAGGATTTATTCTTCAAACTCATTTTCAGAAAAGAGTACATTACTTTTCCGTTCTATCGCAAACAGGCATCGACCCTAACTACTGGAATGAGAACTTAACGTCGCTCATAAAAAACACTTAACCAACCTGTGATTTCGTTACCCGAACCACGTTTGCTCTGATTTCTCATACCAGATGAGGATATGTAGGCACAAGACGATGATGTCTTGGTGAGCAACCTTCCCCTATCACCCGTAGTTTTCCGAACTACGTTGACTCTGACTTTCCCATTCTACGAGGGAATACGTAGGTATAGGGCAGCGATGTTCTATCGAGTCTCTCCTTTTTCTTTTTCCTTTCCCGTCCCTGTTTAGAAGTAACTTTTAGATAACTCGCCCTTTGATTAGACAACAAGCGTGGATCTCGTTGAGTACAACGGACGTGAGGGGTGCTCATACCTTCCCCTTGCGTAACCGACTCTCGAACCCAAGATTTGGTTGTGATGACCTTGTCTTCTCCTTTCTTTTAGGTTTTCTTCGATCGTTTCCTTTCCCTCCTTTGGGATAAATAACATTCGATGACGACTCTTCTGTTTGTTTCCGCCGGTTGTTTTTCGCAATTGCGACAATGTTTTGTAGAAAATATGAGAAGAAAGACACCTTATTTATACAAATTTTGGACTACTTTGAGCCTTAGAAAACTTATCCTGTCATAAGGGATCTTTTCGGAGATGCATCTCCGAATAAACCCTACTTTTTAGACAAAAAAAAGTGTTTATGGATATGCACATCCGTGAATTAGCATATTGTGTGTTATTTTTTAATTTAGTGTGGAATTTATCCGAATATGAATATCCGGAATAATCCTTAACCAGAACCACATCAGAAACTGTGTAAACAAAAACGTAAAATGTAAACAATACAATTTTTTAAACTGAAACATTCAACATTTACACCATTATTGTTGACTACATATTACTTAAGTATTAAATCGTATCAAGATTACAAAGTTGACGATAATATATTAAAAAAAGTGTATCGATTACAATCTAAAATGTATAAAAAGATGCACTACTGCATAAATCTACCACTAGTTCCTCCTTTGACTTTTCCTTTTTTGATTCTCTTCAATCTCGCTAAATTTGACGAGCTCTTCCATCCTTTCCAGAAATTGATCCGACCAAAGCCTGCCGTGTAATAATTGATCATCTTCCTATTTTTACCGTCAATACCTTCCGAAGGATTAGGTCTAACAGTTTGACCGCCGAGTCAATAGTCTTAACCCTTTGAATATTTCAAACCCTAAATAGCCTAGGTGTCCCGCCGTGGACGAAAACGCCTTTTACCCTAGCATTAGGTCAAAGAGTCGCCGCACTCTGTTTAGGGTTTCCCGCTGTGGAATCCCTAATTTCAACCCTAATTTCAATTAACTATTTCAACATAGAAATAGGAGTCTCAGTACTCCACGTAAGCGTTTCCTTAAGAAATGCTTACTCCCTATTGAAACCTTGACCACAGTCAAGAGGTTTCTAACCTCCCTTTCGAGGGGAACTACGATTACTCTGATTCCATTCCCTACCCAGGATACGTAGGCACAAGATGCGAATCTTGCCGAGTAAACTTAGGACTAACCGTTAGGTCTTTTAAGTCACTCTTAACCCTTAGCAGTATATATCTTAAAGCAAATGATTTAGCAAAAATAGCAAAAATAAACAAAAGGTTCCTGTAGAGTACTACAGAAGTTTAGGGTGCTAGTACCTTCCCTAAGCTTAACCAATCCCTCACCTAGGTCTCTCCCCGCATTGTGTTTACGATGCAAAAATAGGTTTTCCTTCTTTTGACTTTTTCCTTCGGATAAATCAAAGTCGGTTGTGAATCAAAGATTTGCGATTCAAATTAATTAATAGTTTGATATCCTATTCTCACCGCAACAACACCAAAATACCTTCTCCTTCCTCACTTCTGAAAAAACAACTATGAACTTTTCTTATACTCTCTCAACTCACATTCTCTCAAAATCAATTAATCAAGTTAAAAACTTCTTCCGTAAACATCAAATACATCAAATAACCCGTTCAACAGTGAAATAAATTCATAATTTGTAAGTTTTTTTTTGAGTTTTTGTATAAATTTGTAGAAATTGATGATTAGGTTATGAAATAGATAGTTTTTCCATGCCTGATAGTTTATACATAACGAGAAACATGTTTGATAGGTAAAAGTACTGATCAATGCATTATTTTAGGTGTTTTTGTGGTCTGCATTAGCGTTATTGACAAATCTGTGAGTTGCAAGAAAATCCAGAGATGCGCGAGAGGCACTGATGTGCAGAAGGCAGCGTCGAACCATGGGGTTCCGAGGGGGCCAAGGAGCTTGAGTTCGTCATATGCAACAGTATGTAGTATTTATACTTTAGATTTATTACCAATTGTGTTTTATTTTGACTTATTTGACTTTATTGTGTATTTCGACTTCATTATGTATCGGTTGATGGCTTATTTTGACCATCTGAATTTATATATGTCATTTTTTCATATCGACTGTATAATTTAATGCTCATCATAATATACCTTTATTATATCATCATTTTCATCTGAGTATCAATAAAACAAACTTAACATTTATTTTCTTGTCTAATACTGAGATGCATCTCTGTATACATCCTATGTGTATACGAACATGCATCTTTGGGTCAATCTATTTTTAAAAGGGCCCTTTTAGGGAGAGATACATGGGGTGTTTATTGAAATGTTTCGGAGATGCATCTCTAATTATATTTTACAAAATATGTTGGTGTGACTTAGTTTTAACGTTTTGACTTGATACAAAGATGCGTCCTGAGATGCATCTCTGGAATATGAGGGGCATTTTCAGATTTTCATAGGGTGTTTTCAAACTCTATGGAAACCCAAAACTATCCAATCTCACAGTCAGCGCAATAAAATAAAACAAACTCAATTTTAAAATCGCGCTAAATACAAGTAAAAAAATGTCCGAGTTACAAAATTCGAATGCAACTTATAGATACTGAAATTTTGGACACAACACATATTACAAAAGATCTCAATTTCACTTGAAAAGCGCCAAATACCTAAACAATTTTGTCCGAATTTTAAATTCAAGGGTTAAATATGTCAGGGGTATTCATAAATATGTCAACATTTAAATTTAGTTACTCTAAAATTTTCTTTCAAACAATGGCCTTTGCAAACTTTTCTGTTCCTAAAGTTGGTCTCTCTCGTTAGTTTTCATTAATGCAGACTTATGTGGTATGTTATGTGAAATTTTTTTATGATGTGACATACATGTGTCAATGCTAACGTGACAAAAAATACTGACATAAATATTACGTGTCAATTGTTTCTATTTTAAATTTTTTATATTAACATCATACCTAAATTCAGAAATAGTAGTTAATTTATAATTAATTCCTAACTAATTTATAAAAGTCTGGACAGCCTCCAGCAAGGTAAGGATTGCATAGGAACCGATTTAATGTAAGGTACATGTTTTTTATTTGTATTTAAGGTGATTATGAGATTATTTGTTGTATTTTGGTGTGTCGAATTTCCATTTTAGATTCTTAAGATATTTTTAAATTTTAGCCAGAGTGAGTGATGCATGAGGCATAATGAACTATTCTCTAATTTTAACTAAAAAATTTGAAAATCTTTTGATTGGATTTTTTTTCTTTTTTTGGTTTTTGAATTATTTTGTTTGGACGAACAAATAAAATTCTTAATTGATTTTTTAGGCTATTTTTATAAATTTTAAGACTTTGGTTTAAATTTGAAAAATAGATACTGATTTGAACTTTTTTAAAAATGTTTGGAGCTAGTTTTAGAAATTAGAAAAAAAATGAAAATTAATTTGTAAAGTTTAAAAAGTTAATAAAGATTAATTTGACATTAAAAGAGATAAATTTCAATTTTTTTGTTTTTAAATGTCATTTGAAAATATTTGAACTTACTTTATACAAAATATTTCATGATTTTTTTATCATTTTAAAAACTCAATTTTTTTCTTTCAAACAATAAAATATTTACATAGAAGTGAAGTTCTCTAAAAATCATATAAAAATGTAAAGCATATGAAATATTATTGAAGCAAAGCATACTCTTACTTTCAACAATGAATGGTACATTATCTTGAAACAAATTATAACTAAATGTAAACTCATTTCTAACTAACATAAAATAAAAGTAACACAATAACTACTTTCTAAAGAGATTCATTTCCTTTTGTCTATAGTTAATTTTCTTTTAAAATTGTAAATCTATTGTGCAGAGACTTAAAGTTTCATCTTCATCCAACACAAAAAAGTGTCACTTAAAATCTAAGGAATTTTATGGATCAACTATCTAAATATAAAAAAAAAAAAAAAATATTTGTGATCTATAATTGTAAAATCTAATGAATTTTGAATGTTTAAGAGAAATTGGAATGGATTGGTTTGATATCTCTACTCCTCATGAAACTCAAAAACTGATCAGGCAATTCTTCCAAAAGAGCTTGCACAACAGATATTTCTCCTCCTGTCAAAAACACAAATAATTGTAAGAATTGAACTAAGAAGCACGAACACTGACACGATAAAACGGATACCGACACCGACATAGACACACCATTCTTTAAAAGTGTCGATGCTACAAAACAATTAAAAGACTATATTACACAAGTTAACGAGAGAAGTAAATAGTACTCACTTTGAACTTCTCTCATTGGGACAAACTGCACTATATCTCGCGCCGCTACACGACCAGTAGAACTTCTTAATCGAGGTCCACTATCAGCATCCAATACCTGTAATAATTAACTAACCTCTAAGTACATGTATCTGGTCTAAGTTTAAGTCTAGATAAAGTCAGTAAGTAATTAGACCTCCATGCCGGAGAAATCAGCGCCTCCAACGCCAACTATAAGTATCGATAGGGGAAGATCAGATGCGTTAACCACAGCATTTATTGATTCTTGAAGATCCGTAACAATTCCGTCCTATATAAGAACATCGCGAACAATTTTTAACTGGCGATGTAAAACAATCTTATAATTAGAAACAAAGCGAGTATATTTCTCACCGTTATGATAAGCAGTACATAGTATTTAGTGCTGTTATGCGACGAAAGAGAATCTGTAGCCATCTGTGCAGCCATGTTGATAACCGGGCCGAATAAAGTCGGTCCTGATAGTCTGACTGTGTGTAAAGCACTAGCATAAGCAGCCATTATGCCTTCAACTCCTGCTACCTAAACACATTCAAAAACCTATATCTTAATATTCAAGCAACCTGGAGAGAATCGAAAAATAAAACGGCGAGAGTTTCTTACCTCAGAGCAACCTGGAGGTCCTCCATTCAGATTAAAACAGTGAGATACCGCACCACTTTGTACAGTTCCTCCAAATCCCCAAGCAGGAAACATCTTATCAGAATCATAGAACTGAATAACTTCTCCAACCTTCATTATAGCCTACACAATTTTTCATGTTCATATGAAAAGACATTGACAGTATATTGACAGTATATAGAACTGAATGTTGAGGATTTCATGGACTAGTATCAATCTCACCTTTTGGTATGCGTTTAACCGACCGGATGCATTGATGTAATGCAAAGAATCTGGCTGTATAGGATTTCCATTTGAAGCTGGAAAATTTTTGAAGCACTTAATAAACTATAAACATGATATTAGTACGAATCACTTTAGTAAATAAAACAATTGACACATACCAGTGAAATCTATTGCAACCATGAAGTTGAGTTCAAATCCACTCGATATGTAATCAATAAAACTGAATTGTTCCTTTTCAATATATTGATCCACAAAGAGTTGACCCTTTAAAACCTATAATGAAGAAATAATTCTATCAAATGTGAGTTTTTAAGCATATCAAAACCAAACTTTAAAAACTTGAGCGAACTGAACTGAGTTCAAATCTTATACGAGACATTCGCAAAATATATTTCAAAACCAAATTCTAATTTGATGCATGGATCAATGATCACCTTATCTTGTCCACGGCGTTTCGATGGCACAACAAAATTTGCACCTTTTCTCTCATTATACAGCTTTTCAAGGTCTGCAATTGACTTCTGCATTTTACTGTTGGCAACAAACTTTGATGTCACTTTTTTACATATTTGAAATATAAACTAGAAATTTAAAAGCCTTAAGAAGCTTAGGAACAAGAAAACTAAAACAACTATAGTTAACTCAGCTTTACCCGATAAATGCATGATTTCCACTCCTATTGAAGTCAAAACACTCGATAACTAATGGAGTCTCCTGCATACAAGTTATTGAAAATTTTCAAAACTTGGTTAACATTTCGTTACACGAGAAAGTAATTAAAAATCGATTTAATTGAGATATGTTGTGTCCAAAGACGGCAAGCTTACTTTACTTCCAAATTGCTGGAAATTAAGAGAAACCGGTTTCCAGTTTGGATTTAAATTCTTATCTATAACTTCAGTCTTGCAAATAGGAATAGAACCTCCGGTTTCAACCATTCTTGATACCCTTAGAAAAGGATCCTACACAAGAAAAAACAACAATGAAAAGTTTTAAAAACTTGCACATGAATTAAACTAAATCATAAATAAATATGCAGCAGGGTATTGAATTTGTACAGTTTTAGAAAAAATGTCTTTGTTGTCCAAGCGAGAACAACGGAAGCTAATCTGAACAACATTCCTTGAAGCAACAGTCTCCTCAGCATGAATGGTAACTGTTCCTAGATTTCTTTGAACAATATTCTCTCTTTTGCTTTCAAGTTTTAAGGTTAAGCTCCGGTTTTGTTTGGTCACTATCTGTTTCATAAAGGAATATGAAATGTTGGATTGTACTGCCAAATCAACATGGTTATTATCAATTGAAGCTGACCTCTGATAAATTGCAACTCGCTTCTCCAATGAAATCTTGATCTTTCAATTTTAGTATCTGCAAGAAAAAACAATTGTTTATGTAGAAATTTTTTTCTAATACATCTTCAATTTTTATGAATCACATCACAAACTATTATATAAGAGTAACTACTTCTCTAAAATACTTTTATATAATAGTGTTTTTTCTTTAGATTAAACTTATTTCAGATCATTATCACAAGTATCAATATTCTTTAGATTATCATCAAGAATCATTTTCAATTTTTACCTTTGATGGAATTTCTTTGTGGGACTGGTCAAGTTTAATTTTTTCGTTATCTACTAGAAGTGATTCTAAAGTTGATGACTCCTGCGAAACAAAAGACAATAAAGGAACCGAAAACATAAATAGATTATCCAGAAGTTGAAGATCATAAAAGAGTAAGAGAAGAACATAAAAAGTATTTTAGAGAAGCTATGATCAAGGATACGTAACTCGAGTTCATAGTCAGAGTCATTCATGTTGTCCTCCTGAGACGCGGATGAGTGAAATAAGACACATTTCGTAAAATGTTATAGTACTACTTAGAGAGTTGAAGGAAGATTTAAATTAGAGGTTGGAGACGAGCCTTAGAAACACATGACTCTCGGCTAAGTAGAAGTAAAACGGAGTATATGAAATGTAAGTTCAACAAAGAGAGAAGCGCTTTTAACCTAGTGGTGAAAGTTGGAGACCATATCATTCCACAAGTTACATGATTTAAATATCTTGGTCCGCAATACGAAATGACAGAGAAATAAAGGGATGTAAACCATCGAATTCAAGTAGATAGTTGAAATGGAGGAGGAGCTCAAGGGTTTTATGTGACACAAAAGTACCTCTAAAGTTGAAGGAAAAATTTTATCGGTCAGCGAATGTTGAACGATTAAAAATCAACACGAGAATAAATTAAGTGTGATATAGATAAGGATGTTGTATTGGATATGTTGTAAAACTAGACGGGATAAGATTAGAAATGGCAATATCAAAGACAGTGTTGGGGTAAAATCTATAGTAGAAAAGGTGGTGGAGACTAAAGTTAGGTGGTTTGTGCATGTAGAGAGAAGACCTGTAAATTCTATTGTAAGAAAAGTAGATCAAATGGAAAGGAGTTAAACAATTAGAGGTTGAGAAAGACCTAAAAAGAAACTAGTAAAAAAAATCTCATGATTAACAAATCAGATAAGAACATAGAATTAGATAGAACATTATAATAGAATTTGATACATGTCACTAATCGCACTTAGTTAGATAAGGTTTGGTTGTTGTTGTATGTATAATATCAATGAGAGGAAAAAAAAACTCCATTTCGAATTAATAGAAATACAAAAAGTAGTTATTATAATCTCACCAAAATTATGGTTAAACTCTATTTTTCTTTTCTCAAAAAGTTTTTTCTCGGTGCCTAAAAATAAAACAAAGTATGATTTTTATGACAAATGAAAGTAACAAATAGATTATTATAGTTTGAGAGTTTTCTCCTCCTTTTTCTATCCAATTCCTAAAAGTTCTTTCATATTCACTCATTGCTTTTACAATTTTATTATTTACCTTTTTTTATATTTTTTAGCTTATCTATACTTCATTCTCTATAATCCTAGAGGGAAATATTATAAGTATAAATATTATACAGAATTGATTATTTACAAGAGATGACAAACCGTAGTGGAAACGCCATGGTATGTTGTGTCAATGTCATACACATGAAATCTGAAAGAAAGAAAAATGAGGGAGAAGGAATTATATATAAATCAAGTCAGAAAGAAGTTAGTTATATACATAAAAAAAAAGTTAGCTTACACAAGTGGTTGCACAATCTCGAAATGAAATGCGATATTAATTTTTTCTATCCATTCTGGATTCAAACAATTCGTTATTACTTCAGTTCGTCCTAATTCTTCCAATTTGCCATCTCTTTTATTTGCATATACAACAAGCATAGGATCACTCTAAAATAAAACATCCAAATTAATAATGGTTTTAGGTTGATAAATATGTAAGAAACATTTCAAAAATTACATTGCAACACCTTTGATGTAATGTCCATATCAAGTAAGTCAGATGCTGAAAAAGATAACTGCAGAAAAGATTACAACACCATAAGGAACTTTCCAACTAGTTTAGGTTACAACACAAATATATTAATCATATAATATATCTAAAAAATAAGTTTTTTCTTAGTTCAGAAATACTAAATTATTAGTCTAATTTTTTTAAAAGGGTAATGTTATATGGACAACTATTCTTTTACCATATACACTATGCATACCTCCTTACGACTGAGAATAAATTGGATTGTATTATATTTTATAAGTTTTATAATAAAGTTTAAGGTCTGACCCTTCATAAATTTTATTTTTGAATTTAAGTTTGAATTTTTTTTTAAATCTGAATTAATTTTACTTAAAATTTACACATAAAGATATTTCAAATAACAATATAATAAAATGTACGTTAAATATGTTTTATGATCTCTTAAATATTTTGAAAAAAAATAATTTTTTAAAAATTTTTATCTATACTTTTGATCTCTCCCCCTAAAAATTTTGTTAAAATAATTGATAATTCAATTGTTAAATATTAAATCGTCGTTAAATCGTTAATAATTTTATCGCTAAATTTTAAGAGAAATAAAAAATATGAATGATAAATTTTAGAATGACCATTCATTAAAAAAATTGAAAAATAAAAAAAAACAACAAACGTATTTAATTCTAAAATTTATATATAAATATACTAACAAATAGTTAAAACATTGAAATAAATTTTTTATACAAAAAAGTAAAATTAAACTTTATTTTAACACTCCGGCGACTGATGCCGCATATGCTTTATTTTTATATGAAATTTCTAGTTTGATATATAAGATGACATCATAGAAAATTTAACTATGACATCATATTTCAGTTTTAACTATATAAACTATTAAGTTTAAATTACTAACAAATTAATAGTTTACAATTTAATCGGCATAATCTGCCAATCTGGTCTATATTCTTTTTTTTGTCTATCAGCTATCTACTTGAAAATTTATTTGTTAAAATATTGTTATAAGTGTTTATAATAATAGAGTTTAAAGGTAAATTGGTACATTAAAAATTAATTTAATAATAATCTATACTTTATGACAAAACATAATTTTGGTATAGTTCTTTTTCTTTTCAAATATACTTTTCTAATTTGTATTTTAAATCTTAACTTTTATAAAGGGTGGTTATGTGATTATGTATTAACTTTTACACCATTATATATTAATACTATTTTATGAATAATAAATATAAATAAAAATTAAATAAAAATAATAATCTAGTTTATATTTTACACGTGTGAGTATTATAAAAAATGGACAGACGGACACGTGAGTGCCCGTCTGGACGCTAATAATAATAATAATAAAGATAATAATAATAATAAATAATTTATTAAACTTTATTAAAAATAGTAAGCTTTATTGTTAGATCGAAATCATATTAGACACCTCCACCAACTTTGCAAACACAAATGGTAATTTTTTTTTTGTAAATCCTATGCCAAATGAAATATTTACGAGTGTTTAAGAAAAATATAATAATTTTTTAAGATAACAAGCTTATTATTAAAAATATAAAAAAAGAAACTATGGATATACGTAAATTGCACTCTTTTTTATTAAAAATCACATTTCTTTGTAAACGATTGGTCTCTAGTAACCAGACACACAAAATCAGGATCATCAAACACTCATCAAGAAACTTCACATTCACATAATCAACTACCAGTTCAATTTCCCCAATTTCAGTTCTAACAACGGAAAACAAAAAGTTCAGTATGAAGAAATTTCTTCACATTCACAGAATCACTACTAGTTCCAACAATAAAAAACGCAAAATCATAAAATTAAATTAGTGTAAAATTGAAATTTGAGATGATGAATTTTGAAAGTGAATATAAATTTCAGACACAGATTGTAAACTATAGATTGGGGGAAATTGAACGAACCTCAATTCTGGTGAACAATGGCTGAAAACCTTGAGATGTATAGAAGAAATCAACAGCGTCATTGTTGTTGTTCGTTGCTTTCTGATTAACACCTCCAACTGCTTCTTTCGCTCCTTTTACGTCTGAAAAACAACCTCCCATTTTAAACCCTAATTTCCTTCCTTTCAATCTCAGATACAACTCTCACTCAACAATAACACAAGCCTTTGTTTCTTTTTTCGCTTTATATATGGCTTATTTTCATCTTAATCTTATTACTAATATTAATAATATAAATTTATTTTATTTTCCACGAAAAACGCTCTTACTTTACCAAATAACAGATTAACGACTTAATTTCATGATTAGTTTGTTAAACTCGACAACAATAAATTTGTAGTAGTAACTAGGAAGGTGCTTGTTAAATCAGTATTTATTCACCAATATTATGATGTAATTTTCACGTGGAAGACTATATGACTTGTAGCACAAGAAAGCTCTATGTATAAACAAAAGAAGAAAAGTCTCATATATCATATTAATTAAATCCTATGTGTAATTTCCACGTAATTATAAAAAATAAACCGCGAAATTGAATAATAACTCATGGTTGGTGTTTCACACGTTTTATGCATCTGTTTTGGTCATCCTAATAATTCATTTTATTCTATATTTAAATATATTTTAAGAGTTCTTTTTTATCTATTCCTATATATATCTATACTTATATAAAAAAAATATGATTTTGGTATAGTTTTTTTCCTTCTAAATATATATTTTTTAGTTTTTATTTTAATTTTTAATTTTTGTTTTTAACAAATGATAGTTATGTGATGGTTTATTATTTTTTATATCATTATTTATTATTATTATTTTAAAAATAATAAATAATAAAATAAAAATTAATTAAAAATAATAATATAATTTATATTTTACGAGTGTGAATAGTATAAAAAACAGACAAACGGACCCGTCAGGACGCTAGTAGTCTATAAAGATATAAATTAGAGTAACAATAATAATTTATACTTACAGTGTAAATACCGTATAATTATTTGATTAAATGTATTTACAAAAAATTACACTATTAATATATAACTATTAATCTTATAATTTTATATTATTTGTAGGTGCATATACGATAGTAAAATATAATATTATTATTTAATAGTAACATTTTTTAGAACATACCTCATAATAAAATGATATATTTGTAAAATAATTACATTTTTAAAATAATTACATTTTTAAAATAATTTTCGAAATTGTTTTATATATACAAATTGACAAACAATACTAGAAAGTTAAAGTAATTACATAAATTTATATTACTTTTTACAAAATTAATTGATATTATTAATAAATAATTTTATTTTATTTCTAAAAGATCACGAGTAACTAAATAATTTTAGTATATGTTAGATACTGATTCACAACTTATTATCTTGACTTTATAAAAGTCTCACGTTATTTCTTAAATTCTTAATAATAGATAGAATAATTATTTGTTATTCTTTCTCAAATGCATTTTAAAATCACTTATATTTTTTAGAGAGAATTTGCTGTGCTAATAAAATGTTCAATATTAATTTATCTATTGACTTCACTTGGTGAAATACTTGGGGAACTCTATTTAAAATGATTTTAGTCATAATAGACTAAGTTTATGTTTTTATATGCTAAGTTGATTTGGTTATTCATGTTTGATTCATTGGGCATTTTTTCCATTCATTAAATTTTTATTCCATTGATTGTTTTTTAAAGAAAGAATTTAGATAAATTTTTTAGGTGTGGTTTATACTATTTTTCAATTAAAATATGAGAAGTGTTCACTTACACATATGCAAATTTTTCCTATTTTTACTCTCTAAATGATATTTGAATACATTTGTCAAAATATTGAAAAATAGTATAAACCACATATTTATTTAATAAGATTTTTAACGAGGAGTTCTCATATTTTAGATTTTGGTTTAGTCTTCTTGATATTCTTTTTTATCTTTTTTATTTTACTTTTATTAATATACTTTATTAGGGTGTTTATTAAGTGGTTTCTCTAAGAGAATTTTTAATGGGAGCAACTAAATTGGATGAATTAAGTTATTTTTGTCGAGAAGTGTTAGGTATTCTTTCCGGTCACTATTATAAGCAAAAATAACTACTTTCACATAGATTAAGAAAGATAGTTAAGTGTAATTAATTTTTTTGATTTATGTACAATCAAGATAAAATTTACTATAATATCCTTAATTATATTTGATGAATTAACTACCAACATTAAATGCTTTTGAATTAAATTAAAGGTATAATAGTAATACAAACATTAATTATTCTAAAAGTTAATGACTTTTGCTTATAATAGTGACCAAAATTTAAAGTCATTTTTTGCTTATAATAGTGACCGGAGGGAGTATTATCTTTGTACCCTCTTGTTTTTATAAAATAATTTTATTATATAAATTAATTAAAGTTACATAAAATGATATTTCGTCACAAACAATTTAGAATCTCAAACCTAGGGGTGGCAAAATGGTCTCGGCCAGTTGGACATGTTCGTTTTGCTCATACTTTAGTGCAGGGAAGACCAAGGGTTTAGGCCCTCACCCTCTAAGGTGTTTGCCCCGCTCCGTTCCCTTTTCTTCGTGAACTCTCTCCATAAGGAGGATCCTTAGCATATGGACCTCTTTGAGGTTAGACCACTCCAAGGAGGGATGATTGTAGATAACTTCGTAGTCCACGGGGAAATATTCGGGGAAAGGAATGATAGCTCCTGTGAACTTGATGGCATCAAAGGTGTCATTGCTCCGTAGAGAGTTTTCAGTTGGAGGATCCTTTTAAAAGGCGACGTGGGCTCGCTTGCAGCGGTCACTTACGTTGCCTTACCCTTAGAGGAGGAATCAACCTCCCGCCTTTGGACCTTTGGGGTTAGAGGCCCAGATGAAGCATCACCCTCAGTTTGGTACTTAACACCGACCATCGATGCAAGTTTAGTCAAAACCATTGATCATTGAGGGTGTATCAGTCAAGACGAGGGGAAACCTGGGGACATCATCTGCCCCAATAGTTACTAAGGAGGAGTTATCCTTCCCCTTCATTTGTACAAATTTATCTCTCCAAACTTTGAATAAGGCTCTTTGTAACACCCCGATTTTTCACCATTGTCGAAGGTTTGAAGTTTTGGGATAAACGTGAAAGTATGAAAATACATGATTTTATTGATGTTAATTTGTGGTTTTAATCATTGGATGATTGTTATATGTCAAATTCTGATATCGAGACTTTTTACAAATTCAAAATCGGAGGTCAGGAAGGGCTTATATGGTGGAAAATGCAGAAAAATAAATGCTGTGTATTTACCCGCAAATTATGGGACTTAGCGACGAACTAGCCGTGGGAAAAAACCCAGTTCTGGTGATGTCTGCCAACCCTCATGACTTCCGTTATGTCTAACAAAAAATTAACGCATAGTACTATCTCATGGTGATGCCTTAAGAAGCTGAATATTCACTTAATGATGTGAATATACTATTTTACTTAAGGTGTAATATCGACGACTGTGTTTCTAGCTGCTGAGTTAGGTTTTATGTGTCTTGTTTGTTAGACGATAGGCTTCGATCTAGATGGGGGTGAATAAATCACAAATTTAAAACCAAAAACTCTTTTCAAAAATTTGTTTTCAAAAAGTATGGCACAGCGGAAAAACAACCCGAATCGAATCGTCTAATCGAACCTACTATCGAAAAGCTATATGCGCAATGTAAACCTTATGGAATGATAATGAATACAAATCTTTCAAAAATGATCAAGTCACAAATTAATCAAATGCAAAGCTATTCATAATGCTTATTTCCAATGAACACAAAACGATAAAAATACGTACAAAACAATTTATCGAACACTTTGTGTGCGATTGATCATGTTTGGGAATTTGATTTATATTGTTGATGTAAAAAGCCAATTACAATCAAAGTGATTGTGATTATATCAACAACAAAAATTTAAAAGAAATTTTAAAATAATTTCCAATCGAATTAATTGAAACAACAACGAAATCAATAATTTGCAAGAATAACAATTAAAGAAAATTAAAGTGATAAAGAGACACAAATATTTGTTTAGGCAGTTCCTCATTCGGCCTTACTATGGGTACATCTTTCCTTAATCTGAAATCAAATTGAGATACTTGCAATTAACCTTATCTTTATAAAAATGTTTATACAAGAGGTGAAGAATTCTAACCCCACAAACCTTATTGTTTGTTGTTAAATCAACCACCTCTAAACCCTTGATCAAAACTTGATTAAGTCACTAACATTGTGGCTACAATTCTTCGATTATCCCAAGCACACACTTGTTGAACCCAAGATTCTCGACCTGAAATTCGTATAGGCCAGCCTATACTGAAGCAACAACTTCTATAGGTCAGTCTGAAATCGTATAGGCCAGCCTACACTGAAGCAACAACTTTTATTTGTCAGTCTGAAATCGTATAGGCCAGCCTGTGCAAGAGTGTTCACACATAAAACATAGTTTTTTTTTTATGTATGAAACATGCCTAGACATTTCCAATCATTTTCAAAACCATTTGTATGCATCCTAAGGCTAAAACAATTCAATGCACATCTAAACTTTGGCTGATACCATCCAATATACAAAAACACTAAGTAACACTCTTAATTTTGATACCATTCAAAACATGGCTAGGTTGTAGAATGCACTCACACTCACATAGTTATGTGATTCATGTTAACTGTTGTTGGGCATGTTTTGGGTGACTTAAATTTATTAATTGCATGATTACATTGGGTTGTTGAGCGTTAATAATTAATTTAGAAAAAATATTTAGATGTTATAATTAAACTGATAATGCTATTTGGTGATGTTATGTGATTAACTAAAGATGATGTTTTGTATGCATAAATTTGGTTGTATATGGTATATGAATATTTGAATTGTTGTTATGCTTGTATATGATTATGCATAATTTTTTGTTGTGGTAGTCGTAGTTCTAAGGTGGAACTATGTTGTTGTATGCTATTTATGTTTTGATGTTGTTTATGGAACATTTTATGATTAAATTTTGTGATTATTATGTTTGCATAATGAGTTGATTAAATTGATGTGTTGTTTGAAATATAATTTTGTTGAGATGAACTATTAAC